TGTACTTTTTCTTTTGAATGTATAGATCACGTGAAGTAATTTAGCAACGTACTATAAATAATTAGAATGTTATTGGTCCATTCTATAGTACATCTTGCATTAATCTAGCTCATTATGAGTTGTAGGCCGAAGTATTTGGTAGTTGTACATATTTATTATGAGTAGTTTAGTAGCCTTAGTCCCTAGCTTAGCTACTTAATAACCTAAGCTAGGCCCCATGAATCATGATTAAGCTAAAGCATCGTGATTTAAATTCTCCTTTCCTTGTCTTTTCCAACTCACTTAATATTCGTATATATTAATAATAAGAACAGTATGAAATAGGGTGGATAAATAATAGAGATAGAACGGAATAGAAAGTGATTACGTGTATGTGAGAAAAATGTGGAGTCATAAACTTGTAAATTAAGTTAATTATAACTCATACAAAGTACAGAATAGAAGTTTTACTAACGTTAAGCTAAGGTGCTAAGACGAATATCATAGATACTTGGCTAGAAAGAATGGAATATTTGTAATGCAAACACAAATAATTCATTAAAGACGATCACCTCTAATGCTTAATGATTGGAGACAAGGATTTATATGTTGTCACTTTCTCTAGACAAACCCAGCATCTTAGGGCATCTATTCTTTAGAATATAGAAAATTCAAGGAAACTTCATCATTTTTCTTTGTCAATTTTACTTGTGTTGTGTTCCCTTTCATGAAGTCATCACTAAGTAACACTATTCAAATTTATCCAAGCTCCAAAATTTAGACAAAGACTTGACATATTCTACAGCATAAATTCTTTATAGATTTATCTTATAATTATACTTAATAAATAGCCCATAATAAGACAATTAGTTTGTAGTTAGTACCTGTTTAATTTCTTGGTAGTTTATGTTATTATTCTCAATAACCAACTCAGGTCACTTCTTCACTAATACTCTACATTGGCTTTAAACCATGCATTAAGAAATTTTAGTGATTTTTGATTGATTAAGTATTGATTGAAATCTTATAATTTTTTTCCCCCAATTTCCAATCATTTTTAGTTTGGTTTGATTTGATTTTTGAAAAGGTACATATTAGTAATTCGTATTTGCCTACTACCTTTTGCTAGTGCACAGAGATATGATATATGATATGCCACTATTATACAAGTACATTACAATATATTGATATTGAAGCAATTTCACGTATATATTTACCTGTATCATTTTCATTGGTGCGTCTATATAAATGTACTGTGTAACTTCTTAATTTTCGTAAAAATAATTTCAATTGTGATATGATGTGCAGGAAGACTGGGTGTTATGTAGAGTTTTTCACAAGAGCAAGACTGAAGAAAACAACAACAATAACCAATGGCAACACATGCATGAACATACAACAACAGCTAGCACCTCTTCACCACCTACTTGTTATGCATGCCAACAAACCAACTCATTCTCTTCAAATTATACTCCTACTACTACTCTTTCTCAAGAACCAATTATTAGCCAAAACAACAACATTAGAAACAACATTCCAAACATCATTACCAATGATGTTGTTACCAATAATCATCATATGTCGTCGCCATCGTCGTTAAACCCTAGCAATAATTTCATGCACCTCTTGAAAGAGGGTAACCCAAGCTACCCTTGTTGGAGTGATTTGGTTGTGAAAAATGATGATTATGGGCTATTATGGGACTTGGAAATGGAAGATCAAACTAACAAATTGGGTGATAATAATGGAGTTCTTCCTCAACTTGAATTTGGAGATGTGAGATTTGATCAAGATGATTGTGGCACCATTTTCTTCTAATGATTTTTATCATTACAAGAATTATTATTATTATTTTATTATTTTCCAACTAACAATTTAAAAAAAAATTGAAAAAAAAGAAGAAAAATAGGTTTAAAAAAGGGACATATTTAGAAAGACAAGAAGTACACCACCATTTTGTTGATTTGTGTGAAGTTTGGTGTACTAGCTATAGATAGCTTTTTATTTTTGCTTAGGCATTAAAGGATATAATATTTTTATTGTAATGCCATAATATGGTATAGGATTTAGGTTGTGGTCTATGTTATAAATATATATGTAGTGAATCATTGTATAAACACATGCATGCATGTACTTTTACCATTAATTTCCCTTTGTTTGAACATATATATTTGTAAATTTACTTGGTATTTACTCTATATTCATATATATGCTCAATTCTAGATTTTTAGTACATTTTTGACGTTTATTATATAGCACATTATTGTTTAATTTGATAAATGACTATTAGCTAACTTTTGTATTTGCCTTCAAAAAACAAACAGTTTTTGATTTTATGAAAAAATATCTTTTCAGCCAAAATGAAAATCTTGACAAAAGCAATTTTTTTTTCTAACAATTTTGTCCTTTAATTAAGGCAACTTCTAGTTAATAAATACGAGAAAAAATGATGGTCATTTTATGACGGGTTGAGAATCAACAATTGATTATAGCAGACATGTACTCGGTGTATAAATCACTTATATTATTAATCGACTTAAATGATGAATATCAACACTTAGCTTAGTAAATACGAGCTAAGTATTATGAACGAGTCAAACAACCCAAGTAAATCATGCAATAATCAATAACTTAAACATGGTCTTTTATACCAAATTATACGTAGTGTTTTATACCTACAAAAATAGATAATTGTATAAGCCTTTTAACATTGAATTAATCAAATAAATGTAGAGAATTTAGCTTGCTTTCACTACAAGTCGATCATGCAAGACAAATTAAAAAATTTGAGCAGCTTATATTACAAAGTCATTAATGAAATCACTATCACATCAACAATAATAATCTACAAATAATAACTTCAATTCACATGTTTTTTGCTAATTACTTGATAAAATCCATTATCTGTTAAAATGTTACTACCTTTGCATTTTAGTGCAATAAAACTATCCGTACTTAATGAGGTTGTATTATCTCTAACTGCTATAGCATGATAAGATAAAGCAGATCATTTGAGGACAAATTTAATTAAAGAGTATGATGTTACATGATTTGCAAGTTGAATTTAATTAGTTGTTTTTTTTTTTTTTTTGAAAAAAAAAACCTGCGGCTTTTGCATGATTTATATAAATGCTCTAACGATAAAAATTGGTGGTATGTTTGCCTCTGGTGGCTCCCTCCTCCGGGATTTTTGTCGATCGCTTTCTTGTTTTAATACCACCTCTGTTTAGATTTAATTATCACGCTATTAGTATTAATCATGCTATATGTTGATATGTAATTCTTCAATGGACCTACGTATACGTACACAACAAATTAAAGCTTTCATTGGAGTAGAGTCTAATAAACATACATATATAGGGTCCATCGATCCAGATTCCAATATTGTAAAACCAATTTCTATTTATAAGTAGAAAAATTTACTAGTCAGCTAGCCTTATATGTTAATCATCCTAGCTATCTTATCTTTTTTAAGATAAATCGTTTTTATAAGTATGTTTTTACCAAATATATTTTTTCAAATGTACAAGAAAACAAACATTTCAACATCCCTTCCATTTTATTTATTTCATTTTTGGCTCCATCATTACGTACATATTAAGTATTTTCTTATAATTTTGTCATTATTGTAGGTTCTAAAATACAGCCAGAACAAGGGCAAAAACTAGGTACTCACAAAAGTTTTCTAGCGTTATCTTCAACATGCCACGGCATCTCAAGTAATTCAAATTCACAAGGTAATTAATAATTGAAGAAAGTAAAAGAAACAGTATGTAAAGGAATATTTCCTAGGGGTAATCATATATTATATGGGCTATACTAAGTTAATTCCCCACATAAATAAATTTTCCCCGGATAAACAAAAATAATTGTCTTTTCAAGTACCAGTGGAGGGGTATATGCGTCTTTTCATATACTAGTTTAGGGGTACATATGTAATTTTCTTACCAAACAGTAAAAGCAAGTTGCAAACCGTAACTAGACAGCTCACCAAATTAAAAGTACTGAATAAATGACCCTGCTTTTTCAATATATTTACAAAAATACCATCAGATTAACAAAAATATAATTCGTTTATCTGGCAGATTAACTTGTAAATTCCCATATTATATGTAGTTTAATATCACATCAATAATGGCCTACAAATGTAATAATGTTTATACTAATTACTAAAATTGTCACATAATCTTGTGATTTAGCAATAGTTTTTGTTCTATCTGGCTAGATAGCCACACCATCATATATAGTATAACTCCAAAATAATACTCTTTTACAAGTTTCGCCATTTATAAGGAAGTTCGGATGTATTGCTTTTATTGCTTTACATGGCTATAGGAGGCTCTAAGACAAAAGGATTTTGACATTCGATTGCATATGATGGATAGCGGAAAATTTATTACCACGCGTGTAATGGAATGAATGTAAAGAAAGGTATATATATCTCGATACATTACAACAATTTGAGATGTGACACACCTTGTTTTGTAATAACGCTTCTTTTGCACTGGGTGGATAACACGTATAGAATTGTCCAATAATCCAATTTACTAATTAGCATTTTGTAAGACAAACATTAAGTGAAAATGTTACTCCGTTGTTTTCTTGTTGATGTTCTCATTAAGAAACCTACCACTATTTACAATAAGAATAAATTTTAAATTATCTCCAATATATATGTTGGGAAAAAAAACACATAATTTAATGAAGTTTTTTTTTATTTTGGCGTTATATATCATACTAATTTATTTTTTTTGGGTACTACGACGAGGAGTTCCCACCACCTTTGGCAAGTGGACTAATCTCCCACGGGAGTTTGCATGGGTACCTCGATGGGCAGTATCCCTTCCAACTGGGTAAATGCTTAATAGTTGTAACTTTATGTTTAATAGGTTTAGTCAAAATAATAAAATAAATAAATAAAATAAAATAAGGGTCTAGATTTGGGCTAATATCAAAAATTAATATTGGGTAATTAATTCTGGGCTACAGATTTGGGCTAATTTGGATTTTCCTAAAAATTGGGCTGGGCCGCCTATTTTATAACATTGGGCTGGCCTAAGAAAATTTCGATTATAACCTCAGTATGTCAGAAGTTCATAACACAGAAAATCGTACTCCTCAACTCACTCTCATTTTTCTCTCTCCTCTGCAAAATTTTCTTACATCAATGGAGTTTTAGGGATTTCTTTTTTAGTTTATTTACCTCTTTCTTCAGTTTTATTCGTCGCTCAAATTTACAAGTTTTCGTCATTTTTTCTAAAGATTCAACTAAGGTATGCTCGAAATTTCACTTCAATATTTTTTCGGCGCTTTTTTTGATGCTCTGTATACTATTCAAATTAGTTAATCCAACATTGTTATGGAGAAATTCATGTTGTTTTTGCTAGATTATGTTAATTTTTTTCTTGATTTTGTTACTTATGAATGAAAATTAGGAAAAACTGGAATTTAATTTACACAGTAATGGAAGACTAGTATAATTATCAGATTGTAAACAATTTATTAGAGCTTATTTTTTGTAAATTACTTCGTATTTGTTAGAGCTAGTTAATGGTGATGTATTAATGGAGTTTTTAGTTGATTATTTATCTTTTTGAAAAATGGGGGAAAAGTTTTCGTTAATGCTGCAAAAGTTAAAAGGATATTGGAAGTTAGGGTTTGAAATTGATTTTATGGTTTTATATTCGTTGTTTACTGTACTTGAATTTCTTGAATGTTTCGTGTTCTCTTATGTTCTAGAGAGATTGGCTTTTACCCAATTTATTGCCATGGAGATGAGATGATGAGTATGTACATGAATACCCTGAAGTAAAGCTTGATTGAATGCTTTATTTCCGTCGTAGTTAATTGTCATTTGACCTTATTAGTATAGAGAAATGCTGGTTTGTAGAATTTCCCCTTTGCCTGGTAGTAGTGAGTAGTGAGTGGAGGGCGGTTTAATTGAGCACTCGAGCTCTAGTTTGCTTATGTTGAAGATGAAAACTACTCACCGTCTCACTTTATACTTAATTACTTACTTCACTCTAATTGAGCAAAGAAAAGTCTGAAGTTCTAAATCAAATGCGGTTATTAGGCCAACTAGTAGTTTTTAGCTTTTAGCTTTTGAGTAGTTAGTGCTGTTGGAAGTTGGATGTAATTGTTGGTTATTAGGCCAACGGTTGAATGTAATTGTTGGTAGGTTAGGTTTTAAAGTAGGTGTTGGTAATATGAGTGTTTAGCAAAAGTAGCGGCTTAAAATTTAAGCGTCAATAAAGATTACATGTCTATTAGGGAATTTAACTATATTTTGATATTTTAATTTATGGTTGTATTTAGTATTACCTTATTTTAATTTAACAATGACTATTTTATTTTATTTTTTTAATAATAAAAGGTAAGCATAAGAAAGGTATTAATTGATTATAGTCAATGTATGGAGTATTTTCTGTGTTTTACATTAAAATTATTATGCATGGAATTTATTTTTACGCTAACTATCAATAATAACTTATAAAACCATGATTTCACCATAGAAGATAGCATGAACAACAAAAATCAACAAATCGCCATATCAGATTACTTAATTTACGTAATATTATATTAAAATTTGACCACAAAAGAAGAGTTATCGCTATATCAGATTACTTAATTTACGTAATATTATATTAAAATTTGACCACAAGAGTGCAACAATATATTGTGGCTAAATTTGTCACATATTGCTACATCCCATGGTATAAATATTAATTAGACCTTTTGTTTAATGCCAAAGAAATTGGGGAAGAAGTAACTAAGTGGAGGAAGAAAGCAGTAAATGGAACGTAGAAGTACTTGAACTCTACTACTACTTTTTTGTATGACATGTTAAATCTTGTAATCATTGGCGACACCACCCAACCTTTACTTCTACCTCAAACCACTATCTAAACCACTACCTTGCTAAACACTTAATCTTTTATCTTTTGACTTGGTCAAACCACTAATCTCTACCTCAAAAACTTGTTGCTGAACACGCTCTTAGTGACAGATAATGCTAAGAGTTAGTAGTGGAAGGGAGGCTTTTTGACTGATAGTCAAGAAGATCCTGGTTACAATTTTGTTGTGCTAGTTGACTGTCGAAAAATCACTAATGGCATTCTATACTCTGTTAAAGTTCTTGCCTATTTATTCATGAGACAAACGAGTTGAACATATTACTTTTTTGTGCTCTTAGTTGGCTCAGTAGAATTGATGGTGACTGAAAACATGAGTCCTATTGAGAAGCATCAAGAAGAGAAACTAGATATTCCTCCGGATTTGACTTCACTCGCCACATTCAGTTTGCAAAGAGCAGAAGTAAATGATCTTGAGATATCTTCAGGGATATCCCCTTCTGATATTGATGGTCTTGAAAGCATCAAGAGAAGTTTGAAGATTCAACAAAGACCATGGATTGTTTATGACCAGTTCGAAGGTGAAAGGGAGCCAGATGTGAAACCACATGATATGGTCATACTTGTTTCTCCTTAATATTTCAGTGTTTGTAAATGTAAGATTTTGTATCTGGTTTGCCTGCATTGAATTATACAAGGTTTATACTAAAAAAGTAATCACCCTAGAGCTGAAAATGATGGAAACTTCTTTCTTACATCATACGAAATATAATATGAAGAATGGAAAAAAAATCTTTCATAAATAGAATTTAGGTGATTCCGTGTAAATTGCTACCTTTCAAGTAGTTATTGATTGTTACCATGGGTAAAAATTTATGATTTATCACAAAACTGAAGTAGATTTCATAAAATGGTGCAGGTATTACATAGGGTATATGTTCAAATGTTTTCTGGAGTGCTGATTACTTCGTATGGTTACGGAGAAATGCTACTTGTACTTGTCAGTGGTGTAGGACATGCATGCTCAAAGTAATCAGAACTAACAACATTTTGAAGATAACCAATGATTTTCAACTAGCATACATAGAGTTAGGTGCATTAGTGTGGATTTTCCCTTTCTTAAACTTGTGTATGTTTGTCCGTTTCTACTGTACAATTTGTTATTGACTGTTGCCATTGGCCAACTGTATGCTTTTTTCAAAAAACAGAAGTTGGGAGTTAACATTGTAGTACTTCTTCCGAAAGATGGTTAGAGCCAATGAAGATTTATAAAAAGGTGCATGTATTATGTTGGATAAATGTTCGCATGTTTTCTGGAATGTTGATTGTTCTATTGGTTACATAGATGTGTTACTTGTCAGTGGTGTAGGACATCCATGCTCATTGACTTTCATCCTCTTTTCCTCTTACTCCATGTTCTTGCAAATCCCTTACAACCTTAGTGAGGGTTGCTGAAGGTTGTCTTGTTGATATCCTTCAAACCACTTGTTTGCATCTGCTGCTTTTACTGTCTATCCAAATAAATTTGTTAAATCAGGTTGAATTGTACTCTGAATGAACTCGGCTTTATAGGGATCTTAGAAATATATTTCCCTTCTCTGTTCTGCATATAATTCACTGGATGCAAGTTATGCCAAGTCCACTTATTCTAATTTTTTTTTTTTTTTTTTTTTTTTTTTACAGAGTTCATCTCCAAAGGTTTGTCTTCCCAAGGGTGTTACAAGAGGATGCTCAAACTGCAGCGGGTGTCAAAAGGTCTAACCTGGATTTTTTTTTTTTTTTTAAATTTTATTTTAATTGTTCAGGTAGCCGACCCTACTTATGGGATTAAGGCTTTGATTGATTGATTGAAGTATTTCAATTGACTTGAACATCACATTATTGTTGGTCCAAACTCCAAAGTTCTTTGTTGCATGTAACTCTTAATTATGGTTCCTCCATATCAAATTGTTACCTTTTAAAATTAGACCATATCTTTAGCTTCTGTAGACTTTTGGCAATGATTAAATTGATATTTGGAAAGGATTGATTAATGGAGAACTGCGTTATTTGAAATTCTTTAATTAAATGCTTCTATTCTAAATCTTTTTCCTCTTCTTATTTTCTATTATTTTTTGATAAGTAGGTTTCAGCTAGGTGGGATCCCGAAGGTGCATTCACTCATGCACTAGAAGATGTAATTGTATTTCATCCTAACGAAGAGGCATGTTTTCAACTCTATATTAGTATATTTACTTTATTCAATGCTCATTTATTGTTATGTTATAAAATTTTATGATTTGCTTTCAGGATTTCAAGGACACCTTCAAGTACATTGAAAGCATACGCCAACAGGTGGAACCCTATGGATTATGTCGTATTGTCCCACCTTCATCATGGAAATTTCCAAGCTTTTTTGAGGAAGATGACATCTGGCAAAATTATAGATTTTCTACCCAAGTTCAACGGGTTAATGAGCTCAAAAATCACGGCTCCTTTAGAAAGGTAACTCCAGACAGTGACACTAGAGAGGCAAAACGAAGAAGATTGGATTACGAGTCTACTGATGTTTGTGCTGCAAATTTTTGCTCTGATGAATGCCAAGGATTAGAAAGTTTCTGTATTGAATCTGGTCCAGAGTTCAATCTTATAGCTTTTAAACGGTATGCTGATTATTTTCACCAGTGTTACTTTTCCAAAGAAGTTGAGGCTCCATATGTTCAATCAAGGGCAGCTATGCATCAAGCTCAGAGGGAACCATCTGAACAAAATATTGAAGGTGAATTTTGGCGTATTGTGGAAAAGCCAACTGAAGAAATAGAAGTATGTAGACGCTGTTTCAGATAATGTCGTAAAGCTTTAACTTTACATTTCTGATCAACTTACAGTGCTATCTGTCTTTATTTAGGTGCTTTATGGGACTGATACCATTTCTGAAAAACTCGGCTGCAATTTTTCAGTATCATCAAACCTAGGTCAGGCATCTGATTCCATTGAAGGTGTTTCTTCAAATTGGGACTTAAATCATCTCAACAAGTTGCCTGGTTCCTTGCTTTCGTTTGAGACATTGGACTCTTCTGGTATATTGGCGCCTCAGCTACATATTGGAATGTGCTTTTCATCTCTTCCTTGGGTAAGACCTTTGAGCTTCAAACTCATGTGATACTAATTTGTCATTTTGGACTTTTGGTGGTTCTGTGTAATTTTCAGTCTTTTCGGTGAGTGAATTCAACATATCATTTATTTTTGTAAAGTATTCCCCTTAAATAATATATTTTCTGATAATTATTATCTTTTTCTTTGAATTATCAATCAGACTGTTTCAGAGCATCACTTATATAAGCTGCAGTATCTGCATTTGGGTGCTCCTAGGATATGGTACAGCACACCCGGATGTGACTCACATAAGTTTGAGGTTATTGCAAAAAGACACTTCCCAGCTTCTGGAAAAGATCATCTTGAGCGAACTCATAGACCAGTAAGTTCTTTAGTTTTGCCTCTATGCCTATAGCAAACATGAGACAGTATTCTTCAAAATCTTAGGAAAAATTTCAAATTTTCTGCTAAGGTATTCTGGCAGATAGCATAAAAAATTTATGTATGTATAGTTCCATTGATTTAAAAGATTGTCACGCGTGTAAATTTTTGAAGAAAGGTCTTTCTATGTGTTATACATGTCATTTATTTATGATAACGACATAACGTGCTATATTACTATGTTCTATTCATGGTACCCAAGTTTAACCTAAAGGTGGTGATACCTTAGTGGAAATAAGATAATGGCATTGCTTAAGTGCATGACACTACCTGTATGGCTGTATCACTGTATGCATGAGATAAATAACAGCAGAGAATCTTTCATATTCCAGCGTGATAATGCATTTGAACTGTCTTGTTTGTGTAAATATATACATGTGCAAGAATTGGTTTATTAAACTACCAGTGTGTTTCAGTGTTTGTGGCCAACCTTGTATTCTGATTTGCCAGGAAACGAGACTGTAGTCTGGGATCCTTTTTCTGTCTTTCTTTTTGTTTTTTTAATCTTTAGTTATCTTGAACTTTGGTGTTGTGGTTCTTACTGTAATGGACTGATGTTTACTGCTTACTAACTCATGCAAATAACAGTAAAATTATATAGAAAGATTGATTCTTTGAATAATGTAGATAATCTGATTTTTTTGCAAGTTGCAAGAATTAATAAAGATGGAAGCTTTAAGTTTGATTGATGATGGAGAAAGGGTTACAAGGGATAATGTAATAGCTTAAGGCTATCAATCTTCGATAGTGAGTTTAGCTCACAACTCTCCAATAATGGCTTTAGGCCATAACTCTCTAAAAGGTTCTCACCAAATTTCTGCCTGCCTATTCCCTTCCCTTCCCTCTCTATTTATACTAAGGACTCTTAACCTAGTGAGCTAATATTAGTAGAATACCTATACTACCCCTCCTTAGGTTGATCTATTACACTTACCAAATTGTTTGAATTTATAATTTCAGGATCGACAATTGTCCCCTACAATATTAAAATCAGAGGGTATACCAGTTTATCGTTGCATCCAACGGCCCGGCGAATTTGTTCTTTTTCTTCCAGGAGCCTACCATTCAGGTTTTGATTGTGGGTTCAGTTGTTCTGTGTCGGCAGTCTTTGCTCCATTGGAGTGGTTGCCTCATGGGCAACTTTCAACGGAGCTATACCGTGAGAAGAGAAGGAAAACACTAATCTCTTATGATAAGGTGCTATTAAGAGCAGCTGATGAAGCTTTGAAGGCCCAATGGGAATCTCTATTAAGGGGTAAGAAAACACCAAAAGTCTTGACATGGAAGGAGACTCTTGGAAAAGACAGGGTATTAGCAAAAACTTTGAAGGTAAGTGCCCTTGACTTTTCTTGTAACACGAAGTATTTAGGAAAATATTAATATGGCTTAATCGTTACAATTAATTGGCAATGGAGTAGCGACTACCTAATGCAATTGGGCCACGTAACTCTAATGATAGTATGCCCCAATGCCACTATCGTTTTTAAAAGGATGGGATGATTCAAGCTACCCAGAGAACCTTATCACAGGATCTTCTTCACCCAAGAGCTCCTAGTGGGCCTATGACCTCAAAGCTACTAGGTTGAAACTGTAAATCACTCCACTAGACCAATATAAGCTTGGCAAAAGTGCTATTGCTTTGTGATAGTCCTATTTGTAATATTTCCGGTCTTTTACTCTGTTATTGTTTCTACTTCAGTGAATGCATTCTCTCTTTGATATTACAGCTGATTTTAGTTTTATCAGCAAAGCTGACATATCGTCGACTACTTTTTTTCTTCTTGCGCAGGAGCGAATTAGGTCAGAGACAAGAAGTAGGGAATATCTTTCTTCTGCGTCTATGTCAAGGAAAATGGAAGAAGCCGTCAATGGTGATGGCCGGAAACTGGAATGCAGCGTCTGTTGTTATGACTTGTATATGTCTGCAGTATCCTGCCCATGTAACCATAACAGATATTCATGCCTGCTTCATGCTAAGCATTTCTGCTCTTGCCCCTGGACTGAGAAAATCTTCCACTTCCGCTATGAAATCAGCGAGTTGAATATTCTTGCAGAAGCCACGGAAGGCAAGTTGGCTGCGACCAGGATTTGGTTCAAAGAAAATCTTGGGCAGGCCCTGCAGTGGGACAAGCCCAATTTAAATCAAAATGAATATTCAGATAATCCATCATCTGCTGCTAAAGACAAGGTTACCTCTGTAGAAAATGAGGCTTCTGGCTCAAAGTTACTTTCAGAGACAACTGGATCCCTTGAAATGAATGGTAATATCAATGCTAAAGCCGGGAAGACCAGTTTGAACAATGCATCTAATGATACAAGTTCATCTTCTTCCTCTGATATTGATTTAGATGAATACATCACAAGTCTGGAGAAAGCCTATAAAAGTGGAGCTTTCCGTCCAGCATCCAACAGCGAAGGAGAATCGTTGCCAAGTGGGAAAGATCGTGTTTAGAAACCAGGGGGTCTTATGCAAACTGTTTACCCCGACAATAATACGTGTGTTCTCTTATACATCCTGTGATTAAATCATGTCTATTACAGTATTGTATTACTCTTATCATCGTATGTTACTCTCGGCAGACCACAATCGAGTAAGTATCATGTATCAGGATTCTTTCCAAGAATCTGTTATGATGTAAAGCAATTCTCAAATTTTTCAAAAGAATTATGAAAGGTAGTCGTGTCTCCTATTTTCAGCACATGAGCTCAACGTATATTGTGCACATGCTGACATGTAATATGTATGAAATGCTGCACTAGAATTTTATTGTTAACTTTTATTCTAATACTTAGCTTACAATTGAAATTAAATTTTTAATAGACATTTGAGATTATTTAATACAGAAGTAGTAGTTTATTTTATAAAAGACTGGAATGCTAAAATGGGGCAATGGTAAAATCCCTGCCTTAGCTTCTGAGAACTAATCTTTATAAATAAATAAAACAAACTTCTGAGAACTAATTAAACATCTCTATCATCATATCATGTATTTCTCCGATTGGACTAATAAAAAATCTTACCCCCTTTATAAAAAAAAAATAAAAAAAATAAAAAAAATAAATAAATAAAAAATAAAAAAAATAATAAAAAAGAAAGACTAATCTATGTCATGGACAATGAAATCTAACAAGCTCTACACTTTTATATAAAAACATTATTACAAAAGTAAAAATAGTGTGGTAGTAACCTCAATTTGAAGGCTATGTAAAATATTTGTAAACATTTCATAAATTTTAAAATTTAGAGTACGTCTCTTTTCACTTAAATTTTACTCATATTAGAATGAAGCATTATAAGATAATGAAACTTTAAAAGGGAAAGAATCTCTTTTTCCTATACTCTTATTTATACATCTTTTTATATTGGTTGAAAGGATCAAAATGAGTTTATGTAACTAGAGTAGCACATAGACACATAGTTAGCATTAATATTACAAACCAAAGTTGATAGTTTAGGGTGGCCGGTGGCGTAACACCACAATGTTCATGCCACACCGGGCCAAAAGATGAACGATTATTTGATTCTACTAGAGATCGGTGTTAGAACCCTTCTGACTTCCCTTGCCTGAAAATCTGCTTCCTACACGAGAACAACAAGTTAAACCTAGCAACAAAAGGCGTTGCTCGATGATATTAGCTATGTTACCCTAATAAATTAGAAGGGGGACATGACTTAGGTTACCTTTGGTGATTGATTGCAATTGATCATTAATAATTTACCTCAAAAGGAGCTGAAATAACTATAGATAATATCACAAGATAAGTTACTACGTTCTTGATTATTCGTTACCCACCGAAAGAAGAATTATCTTTAGGGTAAATAATATACTCCATGTATAAAAACTGATTAAAGATAAAATCGTACAAATGTACTAAAATTGCATGTAATGTCATTTCAATCTTTCAATTAATGATCATGTTCTAATTAAGGCATGTGACTCTGATCTATAAAAAGCACAATAGTACGTTCAAAAGGTAGAAGTATTTAATTTTATCTCTCATGTCCATTTTCTTTAAAAGTCGAGAAAATGAAATTCAATCATAATTTTTTTAAGTGGATGTTACATGTTTGATTATCTTAATGGGGTGGAGAATATTTAATCAATTATTACTTTATTGATGATATCAATCAATGCAGTTACAATTGTTTTATTTATCATGCATGTCTAATTGTTATTAACTTTAATTATTTATAAATAAAAATTATAAAAGTACTCCATAGATAGTACATATTAAGACAATTTTAACAAAATTTCACATGAATATATTTTTTCTTATGTATAATTCACAAAAGACAGTCAAAGAAAGAGTGGTGAGTCGTGTAAAAGTCAAAGTGAGTCAAGTAAAAAAGAACGGAGAAATTTGTATTTTTGAATTATTTATAAAAGTGATTTTGTTTTTTGTTTTTTTTTTTAACTAAAACCTAACATAAAAAAAAAAAAAAAATCATAATTATAGGACAATATGAGAAGTAGTGTCGTAGCAAGCCCCTTATATTATGCTAATAAAGTGTTTATTTATCGAATATTTTATAAATATGGGACACTTATATGTGTTGTTTAAGTACATAGTTCAACATTTGGTAATCAGTCTCTTTCTTGTGCGAGCATTATAAACTGATCCCAAGTCGCATTCACTAGCACTTGATCAAATGACTCCTACCCACATCTAGCAGTCTAGCTACCATTAATGGCTGTACAAGTACATGTTTGTATTTTTTTAGGTGAATGGTAGAACACTTTAGCATAGAAAAGTTACAATATCAATTTGTCTGGTTTGATTTAGGAGTGTAGTGATCCATCTCCCAAAATAAGATGACAAAACATGAACATGATTATTTATACATAGGTTAGCGTATTATTAGGTCAAGGACAAATATAGAAGGACCACTATTTATATCAATTTAGCTAGTTGAGGTTGTGTATCAGTGTATGTAAACAACAATGATCATTTTCACAATAATTTACACTTCAATTTGTTGATGAGTTTCCTTTTTCAAGTACTATAAAAGTTTTCTTTTTGAAAATTAACAGTAACGGTACTTATTGTCTCTTACTATACTTGTTTTTTTGGTATTTATTGATCAATTATATTGGTGGTTATTACTCTCATGTACTATCTCAATGGTATGCTACTTTCGTCCCTCCTAACCAATTGGTTGTTGGTGTAGTGTTGATTGGGACTACACTTGGTTGGGATGACCGGTATTCGATCCCCCATAATAACAATTGGAAGGGGACATGAACCTAACTATCCATAACTGATACCCCAATCCGAATTAACTTAAAGGGTGAATCGGGTGAAACACCAAAAAAAAAAAACTTTCGTTCTTTCTATCTTTTTCTTTGAATATTTTGTCAATTGCATCACTAACACTCTATTCTTTGATAAATGGAACACTATTTTTTTCTTTGCTTCTCCGTTCATTCCTTATCTTTCAATTATTGCGTCTAGGGTAATCTAACGACTTTGTCTAGCAATTGACCGTTGATAATTACCTAATTGGATTCTTGTGTGATCTAATCAAGGTAACGGATACTATGTTATGTGTTATTTATTACGGGTTTGTTTAGTCTTCTAGTTAGCTCGTAATGTTAGTCGCTGTTTAGTCGATAGACTATTAATGTTATTAGCTATTTTAATTGATGATTATATGACCAGTTGGCATCCATATATGTGCAACCACGACTAAGCTTAATTAGTAGCTAACAAATTAAAATTATCTAAAAAAAACGTCTTATAATTATTGTAAATATATGCATGATAACCAATTTTGAAATACTACTTTGAGTGATGTTAAGTTTTAGTAAGTATATATTAATTAAAAGTATAGTTATGTATATTTTATTATACTCATCTCAATATATACACGTTGAAAATATTAGCTATTTTTAACTTTCAATTTAAATTACTAAAAGATAATTCAGAATATTATAATGATGTAGTTTGTGTAAGGCATACAAAAACTTAAAACTTGAGTTGTTGAATTGAACGCTGGAGATCGAATTGAACTGATTTGAGGATAGCTCACTAGATAGTTTGCTTCATCTAACTCAACAAGTTGCAATCGAACGACTTTCAGTACAATATAGTTGAAAGGTAACCAAATAACCATAACTATCTACCTTATGAATTTATTAACCTTCCACACACCTTGATGTTTAAGTGCTTACATAAATAGTGACATATATGCATGGACCATTTATAATTGCACCATAATAACATTTCTTGTTTGCATCTCTTAGAGCCAATATAAGGTGAAAAGAAGAGACCAATAAGAAACTAGTCATTTTGTTCATGCTTAGATATTCATATATGCTACGACAACATTGATGATGTGATGTTAATTATTAGAAGAATCAAACAATTACTTATCATTTGTCTAATAGCTAGGGGCTTATTTTATTTTGAGGTAACCGCAAGAAAGTATTCAATCAACTCGGTCTGCCAGCATATAAGAGCAATTCCAATGTTTGCTTCTGAAATCGATTCAATTTGTCAATGTCAATCTTATTTAACCTTTCGCCCTCCCAACTTGCACCAATTTCCAAGTCCGAGAGAGACACACTTACTGCTTAAGGCCCAGTCCGACCCGACTTTGATTATTTAACCTCTACTTTAAAAGTTGGCATAATTTTCAAGTCAAAAAATCTTGTCAAAATATATCATGTGTAAATTACCACATATATTGTGTAGCTTTTGACATGCAATTTTGTTAGTTGCTCCCAAACAATCATGAGTGATGGCCACAAATTTTTGATATTCACAAATTACAAAGGGAAGCAACAACACTACTTTAGAGCAATGCTTGCTTTACCATACTTTTTGGTAAACCTTGTCTTTCTATTAGATTCTTTAGCCTTCACAAATTAAAGTAAATTGATTGCTATCCGAAGAGACAAGACTATCCATCCACTTGCATTTTTTCTTTGCTCGTTGACATTCTTCAATAAAAGTATCATTACTTCATTATCAACGATATTGACATTAGCAGGTTTAAAAGATCAATATTCCATTTTTTATGGTGACAAACTTTTTTTTTACCTCTTTTTTTTTTTTTCTAGGGCACCTAATTGTATTTGATTTTTTTTTTTTAAAAAATCATTCGACACTTTGTACAAATTGTAAAAAATAAATTATAATAACAACAATATATCGGTGACATAATATAAGATTAAAATATTCAAATGGGTCGTTTATAAGTTATTGGTATTAAAATTCTCACCTTTAGCCAATGAGATAAGAATTTCATTATCCCTAATTTTTTAATATTCTTAGGTATAGCGCCTAATTTTTTATCTTTATATAGGTCATTTATGAACTTATGGCTATATTGCTTATGTATGAAATGTCATATGAACATGGCTAAGAATATTACAAAGTATCTGAAATTTTATTGAGTTGTTAAGACTTCTTATCAAACTTTTGTGATTGTTGTCCATCAAACAAAGTTTAAAAGTTTTGAGATTCTTTTGACATGTTTTTACACGCCTTTAACAATAATATCAAATCAGAAAGGATAATTTTACTTGGTGTCCTTTATTTTGCTCTCGTTAAAATGATTGTTAAAATTATCAAAACATATATATATATATATATATAGGATTAGGATCATGTAAAAACAAGTCTTAGGGTGAAAACATGAAAACAATTAATCCCAGCCGTAGATTATAATCTAACGGATGATATTTAATGTATATATATCCTAATTTTCTCTCTCCTCCCGCGAAAACACTTTCTCTTTCCTCTGTTATTTTCTTCCTCCTCTTCCTTCTCTCTTCACTTTCTCTCTCCTAATTTCTCGACATTAGCGAACTCCT